AAAATAAAAAAATAAAAATAAAAAAAATTAGAAAAAAGTGGAGAATGCATGCCCAAACGAGAGAGAGAGTTTTGGTTAGTGTTCGACTACTCTGGCGAGCTAACCTGGACTCGTCCTTGTATCCTAAGTTTAGTGGTCAAGCTTAGGATCATAAACAAGTTTTCAAAAATAATATAAAAAACTAAAAAAAATAAGAAATTTGTATATAATATTTTTAATATTTTCTGTCATTTTAACAAAGATTGAGTAGTATTTAGTTCACGAATACTTATTTTTATATTTTCCTCTTTTTTATGTTATTTCTAAAATACCCTAGTCACAAATTGATTTTTAAGATCTTTTCGCTACCTTTTTAATCTCATTTAGATGTGTTTTGGTTAATTTTTCTTTTTTTTTTTTTTTTTTTTTATATATGTTTCATATTTTTAACACTTTTTGTCCTGCCCAGGACATGCCCAACTTGAGCAAAGTTAGTCTGACTTGGCCTAGCCCAAGGGCGAGTTGTGCGTTCCTACACTAGTTTTGGGCACTTGGCCAAAAGGAGAGAGCGCGGTCGAGTTGCGCTTTCCCATACTAGTTTTGGGCACTTGGCCAAAGGGAAAAAGCGCTCAGGATTTGCATTTTGCCTCGTCTCGCTCTCTCTTCCTTTGCCACACCTATCTTTCTAACCGTAATTTTTGCTCCTCTTTGTAGACAATCCCTTAATTCTATGAGCAGTACTGTAAGCCCGAATGTATATTATTCGGGTACTGGCTCGAGTACCAGGAGCCATCCCAAGTGTTTCTAACTTGGATGACTCCGAGTCAACTTGGCCAAGACTCTAAACACCCCTTCATTTTATTCATGTGCTCATTTCTCCCGTCATTTTGTTTTTATGCAATTTTTTTATTTGAGACTGAGATCATAAGAATGTCGAGTTGTTGGTGCTTTTTCTAAATAGAACGTATTGTTATTTAAACAAGTAAATAAGGAAAATGTTTTTGAGAAGGTTGTAGCCCTCTTTTAAAATAAGTAAACCTCGCCTCAAAACTGAAAATAATAGTTGTGGCATCAAAAAACCTTTAAATCGATATTCTCAGTCAGTTTTGACAATTATGGTTTTGAAAAAAAAAATTATTTTAAGCCTTAAAAATAGTGTATACTGTAACACATAAAATTGTATTTCAAAATAGTGTATATTGTAAGATTTATACTATTTTTTTAGCTTCGAATTTCATAATGAAATTGAATTTAGAACACTGATGAAGATTCTGATGCCCAGAGTGCTTTCTGGACGAGAATTTGAGATAATGCTTGATTTTGTTTTCACAAAACCTAGTCGCCGTAGAATCCGCATCCTTTAAACAATGATATCTATCTTAATAGACCCTGTTTATTTTAATTAATTAAATTGCTTGATTTTTCTTCCTAGGCTCAATCAGAAGCAAATAGAGCACTCTTCACAGTTTTTCTAAAACATTTTCCATTAGCGAGTCCACTATAATGGAGGTAAATTTGTAGGAAAAGTTTGATTTGTGTTCCTATGCATCTATTCAAGTGCAGCCCCTTTCAAACTTTTGATTCTAAACAGCACATTTCACTCTAAGTGTATTTATCCTTTAGACATATGATTTTGCATCTCAAAAAAAAAAAACGAAAAAAAAAGTACAGATCTAATAATTACAAAGAATTAAAATGAAATGTCCAAAAACATATTAAAAACAGTCTTTATATAATCTATTTTAAGGTAAGAGAATTATTTTCTTCTCCAAAATTCATGATCATGGTCGTTAGAACATTTAAAGTGAATGATGTAGAAAACACTTAAGACACAGGCACACATGACATATTTTTGTCCTTTGGGATTGATCATGTCGTACGGCAACTGTGTGTCCTTGTGCTAAAATTACGTTCTCTCGTTTGGACCCTGTTTTTATGAGTCCCCCGACTCATACTATTTCATGCATGCTCCCTGGAACACCCATTATTTGTATTGATTTTGGATCCAAATCTATAATGATCCACGATCTACGCTATGATGATTATGAATATAGAAAATAAACTATCAAAAAAAAATTATCTAAAATATTTTTATTAGAATATTTTCCTATATATTTGATAAAAATCTTTAATTGTGGATGTTAATCTTAAAGATGGATGTTTGTGATTGTGCAGGATGGTGAGTCCGCTGACTCACAAAACACTTTTTCATCTCGTTTATTTGTGGGTTGCATTTTGGTATACCTAGCCAAATGCCATCTCTTTCCAAATATTCATTTTATAGAAGG